TTTCCCCCCCCCCCCCCCCCCTCCTCTCACCCCAAAGCAACGTGTTATTTCGAGCAAGATTAACAGCCAAACGTAAATCGTCGTTAACGAATTACCGAGAAACGCGGAACGATAATGCGCGCGCTTGGAACTAATTGGGGCAGGATGCAATTACACGCGGGAACATTTTTTCGCACGAAGGGAAATTTATAATTGAATACCATAGTGATCGAGTATGTTCCAAAATTTAGAAACGATCTAAAATTCTATCTACAAATGTTCGATTACCCGTTGACACAGTTTTTGGTTATTCCAAAGAAAGCTTCTAATACCAAACTAGTAAATGCAAAACTAGCGGAGTATGTCGATAAGTACGACACATTTCTGGCCATACTCCTTTCTAGATAACCAGTGGGCAGTGCATCCCAAACGTACCGACCGAGCGTGTAATACCGTTAACGCATTGTTGCCAGATGTAGTGCTCGCTTTTGTCAATTCAAATGAGCCTTCACGTCAGACGAAAAAGTTCTGATAAACGGAAATTGCTAACATAGCGAATTATTGAACCGTGGCACTCGTCACGTATGTATAACCTATACCCATAAGTATATACATATCTATATATTTTGCGTGACTGTGAGTGCAGGTATGTATCGGTGATAGTGGGAAAGAGCGAGAAAAATACAGGAACAATGCACGGTGGAAAACGCATTTGAAAGTCGTTCGAGCGTGTGGACGTGCATGTGAAATGCGGCGCGACGAGTACAGCGGCGTAAGTTGGTAAAAACGGTTTATCGAGAACGATCGTAAATTCAGCGGTCGATTCGGCAAACGCTGCGGGCTTCGTGTGACAAAAATGTGATTGGAAAGCACCACGACAGTTTGAAAATTCGATACACCGTGAATTAAGGGAATGGCGGATTACATAGATTACATAGAAAAGGTTAATGCTTTATAGGTTATATAGTCTATTAGTTCGAAGTTTCTTTTTTAAGAAACATTGAATGGTGCGTTATGTGTAATATATGTACGACGGTTAATCGATGTTACATTGTGGAAGTTTGCTTTTATAACCTCTCGTCACCTTTCGAGTGACTTGTATTCTACCTTAGGGTTAAAATTAAACATTTTTTATCAATGAAAACTCTGAATGATTCTTTCTTTTCCTTTTCAGATAATTTTAAGAATATCACTAAGAGAATCCAAACCAGGAATTACATTTTTTCCAGTTTAAAAAATTTGTAGCTTATGTTTATTCAATTGTTGCAAATAAAACCGCATCATCCATGTTCTTTTCTTAGAAGCAGTAGCTTTAAGTTTTCGAGAACAATAAAATTTTGTCCAAAATTTGTGAATTTAAATATCACTGAATTAAAAAAAAATATTTATTTTGGGAACTTAATTTTAGAAAAGTGAGGATAATTACCTGCGACATTGTGTTGATGATGATTATAAGTAAGAGGAACAGAGTGTAATGCCCTTGCAGACCACTTTCTGTGCCTGGAGTCTTCGTCATCGTCGTCAGCTTGTTGGCCATCTTCTCCCAGGAAATGTACCTTTTCGTACCTGTCTAGATACCTGAAATAACACAATTTTGTTAAATTATCGCAATAAATAAGTAAACGTGTATTTTATTACGTTCCTAACCTCCTGGACTCTAATTTATAAATACATTACACGAATATCAACTTAATATCAACTTTGTATAAATTATTACAAGAAAAAGAGAAATATAAACTAAAAGAATAAACTGATGGTAAATTACAGTAACAAATTAAAATTGGTATCTAAAATTTTTTCAACGTTATATAATTATTAATTAACATTGCATCTTAATTATTTTAACACTTATATTACTCTATAGACAAAAAATGGGACAAAATATTGATTTAAATTCGATATCTAAATAAAGTAATAATTTAGAGGCAACTCGGTCGCAAGGGAATTGTCAGTGAATACAACGTGTCGAAGACAATTATTCCACTGTAGTTGACTTTATATAAAAGACGGCTGAACCTAACGGAATACGAATACACGTGATGCTCTGCGTTCTCTTTAACGAATGCTAATGGCCGAAGAAAATATGACCCGGACATGTTGCCTTTGACAACGTCCATTCCATCCACATACCCTTCGCGTGTCTCAACGACCCGCTCTTTTGTCCCACGTTAAAGTTTTTGAAGAGAACGTTCGAAATCTGTCGTACAGGACGAATACCCTACGCCCTCTGGGGACTCCGCGTTTCTTTACATTCTATCTGCGCAGTTAGGAAGTTGTACTGCGCAGTCGCGAGTTCGAAGGTTTATCCTTTTCTATCGGGGTTGCTTTCAGTGACATAAACCACACTACACTAAATATTCTATTTACTTTTAGTATCGACTGTGCATTGGTCGGCGGTGTAATATCGATTATGGATTAATCAGCAGTGTAAAATCGACCGTATATTAGACTATTTTAAATATCCTATTAGAAATAGCAGAAAATATTTTATACCACCACATTCGTATCGAGCATGCCTAGGTGCACGTATCTTATTACCGTGTTTTGTTTTAGGTTATATACGCATTCATAATCCTGAAATAATTAACATACTTTACGAGTACAGATCATTATTAGAGACAACTAAAAATATAATTTCTGCTTAATAGCTTTGTACGCAAAGCTCTGGATAAGTAATTGTTTAATATACCATAAAATGCAATATGAAAAATGAAATAACTATGGAGTATACCGCTTAATATTATTTTCTTATAAAATAAAAATTCTTTAACATCTTTCATTAGGTTTGAAATGGTAAATTTTTTAATATCATTTTGAAGCTTCTATTAAATCTCATTTTTCAGGCATTAAAATTACGGTGAAAAAATGACCATTCCTAACCTAACATCCTGTTTACTACTCTGGACCCAGCACAGAGGTTATAACGAAGTATGTCAAAGTATGTTAAAGACATTACTACGTGAAGACTAGAGTGAACATTTTCCCTACTACTAATCACACTCTTACTTCGTTTCCGTTGCTACCTAGTCACATTCGCCATTTCCGCACAGAACAAACACAGCTCTTCCATGAGCATTAAAACTCCACTGTACTTCAATTTCCTCTCTTCCAGCGCACGTGTCCGATACGATGAACCACTCCAAGAAGGAGCCAGCCACAGCACGTCGACCCCCGAAGACCGTGTGCGACTAAACGACGTTCGTCTACCTCACAGACGGATCGACCTGTCGACTAAGTACCGACACGGTACGACGAACTCGGAGCCGACGTACGTTCCGAATGGGGTAGCCACGAACCGACACAAAACGAAGCGAACTAGCCACGTCCGAGAACGAAGGAGACAAAAACAGTCTTACACACGTGACGTTAGAAGCACCAAGAATGATAATAATAATATTGACAAGACGGAAAGAGACAGAGCTAGCAGAAAAGGAGAGCGTGCGAGAGAGAAACAGAGAAGGAGAGAAGAGAAGAGAAGAGGAGAGAAGAGGGAAGAAGAGGAGAGGAGAGGAGAGGAGAGGAGAGGAGAAGAGAGCAGATGTAGTCGTGGGTGGGCGAAAGAAAGTGGTGGGGGTAGGTGTAGTGGATCCATTCATGCACCAACGTAGAGTACGGAAGGTGCAGGCGTTGAAGCACCCAGCCAGAGCCTGATTGGCCGTTGCTTGCTGCAGACTGAGCACAGACACTTTGACTACTGCCTGCCTCTGGTCCGTCCCTGCACCACTTCGTGTGTCGTATAGATCGGAGTAGTAGGAAACGTCTACCATAGTGTGCCTGTGCTGCTACTGCTGCTGCTGGTACTGGTGCACTCTTGGTGACTGTAGGGTCCGGCAGAGTCACGTGTCCCAGAATCTACATCGACCGTCTATGAATGAACCGCATTTGGATCTCGCGCCATTGCGAATACACGTATCGTTTAATTTATGTTCCTAGTTTTCTAGGCATCGGTTTATATATAGATTATTCTCCTTTTACTCTCAGGTCAGAGCAGTCACTTAGCGTTGCGAGCGAGACATCTGCCACCTTCTCCATCTTGAGTATTTTAGTCACACGTGTTATTGCTTTTAAAATTAGGGTAAACGTGGGGAACTGAATCAGCACTTCTCTTTTGGCATCTACTGCTTGATAGGATATGTCGCAATTTTATTCCTTGAATCAGAAGTTGATTTCATAGCTGGGCTATAGAGGCTAAGGCTGGACAGATGGATCTTCCAATCACTGTTGGTCAGAGAATGGACACGGAAAATTTATAGTTATAATTATGTACATATATGGAAGACATGGCTAGTATATAGAGTGTATACACTACTATAAAATTCGTGAACTGCCTTGGATGGAGCAGTGACATTAGTCGGAACATCCTGCGTTGTTGAAGAGCCTTGCAGGTGAATCCACGGGCCGTCATGAAGCGTGATTATGATGTTTACATATTTATAAATGTAGAAGTATATTTTCACTCGTACTTGATTGTAATGCTGGAACTGAAGCTCTCATGAATTCACAGGAGCCAGTCTACGCAACGATATGGCGTCTACCCTTGCCACGCAGCTACCACAGGATGACGAGAGGTGTAATTAGTATCGTCGCCTTTTAATCAGGTAATTAACCAAGTAGATAAAGATACCTAGCAAAGACTTTCCTTCCTGGACATCTTCTTCGGTCAGCGTAGATTAGCCCACATTTACCCTGGTGTTTGATTGTAGCACTCGAGTTGAAGTTTCCACAAGATCTTAGACGTGAATCTACACGCTGAAACCACGGTATGTCTACTCTCGCCTCGCAATTACCACAGGGTGACGAGGGGAATAATTAGCACCGTCGCCTTTTGATCAAGTCATTTAGCTGAGAAGCTAAAGACCCCTAAGTCCCACTTACTATAAGGACACTTATTCGTGGACATTTTATTGGATCAGCTGGACAGCAGATAGTCCGCATTTTCTGCTACACATTCGCATCAAGAGTACATGGAAGATGATAAAAATAATAGAAGGGATTTAATACGCTAACCTTAGTGGGTGTTACGGATTACCGCCGCTTGATCTAATGGCGCCACAGGCGATCACTGTGACTGGCGGTGGAAGAATTAATTAACACTTTCGCAGCCTGTAATCTCTTCGTTTCTCTAAAACTGAAAGCCACTCGAGAGTAACGTCTAAAGCAGATTGTCGCAGATTCCTGTCATTAACAAAAGGATACGAATTATAATATTTGCGTTAAGTGTATCGCTATAGTTGTTTACGATCACCCGTTACATAAGGTGACAAGGAAAATGATCTTTCGCGATTGGATCACTCGAATGGGATTTTTCAATTTCTTAATAGTTTCGTATTGTTTTCTGTCGAATGACGTAATTTCATGTCAGTGGCAATTAGCTGCGTCTTATGAAAGCCATAATTTTATGTCAGTGGCAAACTAGCTATACATTACGGAAAGGGGTAATTTTACGTTAGCGGCTGTGAATGTGCTAATTAATCAATTAGTAGTAATAATAGGCTCTTATTACACACATGCGAACAATCATTGACACTGGAAAAAGGAAGTGCAGAAGAAGAAACTAGAAATGGGCGTGACTATTTCAACAATGGAATACTCTGATTTTAAGTTTAATCCTATGAATTAAAACATCGTATCAGATGAGCTGCGATATTCGTATAATTATTTAATATCATTTACGTGATCAGGAATTATACGTTAATAATGCACGGAAAATAAAAATTACTAAATAATGATTAATGAAAATTAAAATCACAAAGTATTTCTAAATTACTCTTCACGTGATACTATTCAATGTATTCGGTATGGGTTTTGCATTTTGTAATTCGTGTTATGGACTATTTGTTCATAATGGATAGAAATAATTACGATTACTGGTTAATGAACATTAACAGGTGGAAATAATTGAAATTCGAGCAATCATATTTCTAACATTTGAGTAATTAATTGAAGCTATAGAATAAAGAACACGAATTTTGTTGTAAGTGTAGTATCAGTGATTTGTCTTTCGTTTAATTTTTTCGTTGTTATACAACACCTTTATGGTTTATGTAATTGCCATAGTCGATTAAATAGCACGTACCGTGCCATGTTTTTATGTAGCTGTCCACCATTCAAGCTTTGTATACTTATTACCAATGCTAGCGCCATCTCTACTTTTACATGTACCGAAAACAACGGCTCGAATAGAAAGTTAAGGTTAGGGCGGAATTCTAGCTTAGAGGTCAATTTTTTAGGTGCTATTTGGGATTTTTTTTAAAGAACCATGAAGACGTTATCGTGTCGGGATTTATGGCATGATTTTAACCTGTATTTAGTGAGTATACGCTGTTTTTTTCATGAAAAAATATCGAAAATTGTCGAAGATACAGCTAATTTAGTAATGTCTCTTTAATTGAACATGCCTGCACGGTTATCACGATTCTGACCGTTCTTTTTCTCTGAAATGGACAAACAAACATCCATTATGCTCAGTACGAATATGACTATCATCAGATCCAAAAATGTATAAAAACATCGAAGACAAAATTTTTAGCAGCGCTTTGAAGTTAGGTTACCCATTTTTTGTCTTTTTTCAAGTTTAG